GTTGTCTACGTTTTGCGTTTGCGAGCGTGTCTATTTGCTGAATTGCTTCCGATGTGCACATTTTTTATTGCGTTGATGAACGTAAGGTTTCTTTGTGAGTCTATTGAGGAGCAGTCGATTCCAGAGGATCGGTTTTTTTGAGTACATGCTTCGTTAGCGTGATAGAGTTATTACATAGCAAAGCAAAATTATAGTGAACAGTTGTTCGAAAGTATCCAATTTCTTTGAGGCTCCTTGCTTTTCCCTTGGTGAATCGTGCATGACTGGTAGTCGGATGCGGATTTGGTTATGCTCCGAGTACATGCTTTCTTCACTGATCTTGAGAGTAAACCGTGAAGATTTGAAATCTCAAGCCATCATTCAGATCTTAAGTTTGATATGAAATTTTAGTACTCTCTATTCGATCCTTGTTGTTATCCCGGCATTATACTAACCCAATCTATCAGATTAGTGATGGACTGATACGTTACAACTGTGTAAAGCTATGCGTGACGCTTGACATCCACCCGGTCGCTGTTACTGGTATGTAACAAGATATCCTAATAACCTCAAACCCAGCACATACTCGGGTATCCCAATCTCTTATATCGTGACCGAGAAGCAAACGAAGAAAGCGTGAGATCATCCGCAACCAACACTGTATATCAAACTCCAAGCTTGACATTCAAATCAATGATATCACCTACTCCGAAGTCTTCTCTTTCGCCGGCCTCAACATAAGCTGTCACAAAGATTAGCTCAACCCTCCAAATCAACCAAAATTCCCAACTCCTCAAGAAAACTTACAATAAGATCAATCGTCGTCGTCCCACCCCACTTCCTCAAATCAAACGCCACCTCCTTCACCCTCCGAAATCCAAACCGTGCATACAATGGCGCCCCCGTCGGACTCGCCTCCAGAAACGCCTCCACGCCCGCCTCATCCGCCCTCTCACACCCCCACGTCACCAGCATACTCCCCGCCCCCCTTCTCTCATGCTGCGGCAACGTAACCAACGTATCCAGCACATAATACGGCCTCTGCCCCAAAACCTCCCTCTTATTCGCATTCATCGCGCTAAAAACCTCATTCCACATTTCCGGGTCGCTCTCCTCAAACGGCTCAGGCAACGCAAGGCCTGTGTCGACTTCCTCCCAGGTGCGCTGTGCAGCGCCGTCTTGCTGCGGTTTGACGTAGCGCCAGCGGGCCCCCGCGATTATTTCGCCGGTGGAGGTGTCGACGCATTTTAAGAAGAGGACGCCGTCGGCGATGCCGGTGCGGATGGAGTCTGTGACTTTGGAGAGGGTGGCTGGCGAGGGCTCGCCGCGTGGGTAGAGGATGTGGTTCACGGTGTCCCGGAAGACTTCGTGGCGGATGCGCATGTATTGTTCTGCTTCTGAGGGGTCGAGGAGGGAGATTTGGAGGTTGGGGTCTGGCATTTTGGGGGAGGTGGGAGGGTGTGTAGTGTGGGGATATAGGGAGTTGGCTCGAGTCACGGTGATGGGATGGTGAAGGTTGAGAGAAGAAGTGTTCGACTGAGAATGGCTGTTTACTTATTTGTTTGTCTGACTAGTTCGTCATTCATGATGACTCAGGTTATCCCCCTGTTCAGTACATGTATCACCTGGGTTGCCTTAGGTATAGAATCGAAGGATTGCGCCCTTTTGCTCCACAGTCTTGCTCTCGCGGGGCACATTTCCTCGGAGTTGAAGTGTCTTTAAATATAAGGTTGCAGCTGTACATTTGCAGACTAGTTTTCAGGCTTTGTTCATCACTGGTTAGAATCGACTGACATATGCAATAAGAGACCACCATTCATCTCTTTGGTGATAAGGCTGGACTAGCGGGTGGCGGACATGTGGGTGGATGGTGGTCGCGTTGTTCGCTAATCCCGGTCGCGTCTGGCTGATCCCTGCAACAATTTTCTCGACGTTAGTTTTGCGACCATCCGGCCTGCACCTCTTCGCATCCACGATCCAACGGCAATGGCACCCGCAACGACGATTCCGCACAAGTCGGGGGGACACCAGCGATACAAAGCTGTGAAATCGGACGGCGCGACAAGACATCAAGCAGACCTTGCTGCTGGCGACAGTGATGCAGAGGCAGGCGCATTGCAGCCGGTGAAGGAACCGCAAGAGGATGAGTTTGAGGATTTTGGCACAGAAGGAGAGGACGAAAGCGATGAAGCTCAGGGTAACGATAGCGACGAGGAGAGCATAGATATACAGTTGGAGAAAAAGGCACAGGAAAAGCCGGTATTAGCAAAGGATGCTGAAGAGGAAGAGCTTGAGCGTATGATTTTTGGCGACTCAGAGGGCTTTCGGCAAGGATTAGAAAACTTCTCGCTCGACCGTACGACGGGCACATATGGCGACGAATCGGACGAATCGGGAGCAGAAGAGGTATCTCTTGATGGCGTAGCAGATCAGGACTTATTCTTCTTCGATGCAGGTCCAGTTGCTGCACCAGCAGGTTCTGTGGCACCCAAGGGTACAGAGGAATCGGACGACGAAGACGAAAAGCCTGCGTGGGAAGATAGCGACGACGAACGGCTGGTGGTTAGTCTGGCGTCGGTACCTCAGCTGAGAAAATTGCGGGAGACAGCAGACGATGACGTAGTCAACGGCAAGGAATACTCACGGAGGTTGCGTAAGCAATATGAGAGGCTCTACCCTACACCCAACTGGGCAGCATATGCGACAGGCAAGGCCAACAAGAAGCGGAGACGTACAATGGACGAGGATGAGAGTGGAGACGAGTCGGCAAGCGACATGGACGTTGATGACGAGGACCTATCTACAGCGCCGCTTGCAAAGCTTTTGAAGGATGCTGATATTCTTTCACGGGTCGCGAGGGGTAGCGCAAAGCGAAGAAAGCTTCAAGCAGGCACCATTGACATTCAACGTCTGAAGGATGTGTCCAAAGCCGGACCGGTAAGCGGAACGAAATCAATACATGATTTAATAATAGCTAATAGTTTCTACAGTCTGCCATTACCTCTCTGTCATTCCACCCTAGTTACCCGCTCCTACTTTCATCCGGACCCAGCTCAACACTATACCTTCACCACGTCAATCCAAACCCGCCGAATCCAAACCCTCTACTGACATCACTGCACATCAAGCGTACTCCGCTTGTTACAACAGCATTCCACCCATCTGCATCAGACTCGCGCATCTTCCTGAGCGCACGTCGCCGCTACTTCCATGTATGGAACATTGCAACCGGAAGGGTGGAGAAAGTGTCGCGGGTCTACGGCCACCAGCATGAACAAAGAACCATGGAGTTTTTCGCTTTATCACCAAACGGTAAATACATGGCTCTCCGGGGTTCGTCTAGAAAAGGCGGTGGTGTCATCAACATTCTGGACGCTCGAACACTCCAATGGGCAACACAAGTGCGGATCGAATCACGAGGTGGCATTGCGGACTTTGCATGGTGGGGCGATGGCACAGGCATGTGTATCGCCGGCAAGAACGGTGAAGTCACTGAGTGGAGCGTCGAAGACGGTGTCGTAGGACGTTGGAACGATGAAGGCGCCGTCGGCACCACAGTCATTGCGCTCGGCGGCAAGAGCGGGCGCGAGAACTGGCTCGGAGGCGACCGATGGGTAGCAATCGGCAGCTCGAGCGGCGTAGTCAACATATACGACCGTCGCGCCTGGAGCGAAACCGACCCTTCCCTCAGCACCCCCAAAGCCGATTCAAACGGCGGTATCCCTCCCGCCCCGAAGCCGCTGCGCGATCTCCAGAATCTTACAACGCCAATCTCGCATCTGGCATTTACTCCGGATGGACAGGTGCTCGCTATGGCGAGTCGCTGGAAGAATAATGCAATGAGGCTGGTGCATTTGCCTTCTGCTACTGTGTTTAAGAATTGGCCGAGTCAGAAGACGCCGCTGGGACGGATTACGGCGGTGGCGTGGGGTCGGCCGAGTGAGGATGAGGAGAAAGAGGGGAGCCTGGCACAGTTGGCGGTTGCTAATGAGGCGGGACATATTAGGATGTGGGAGATACGGGCTTGAGTTTATTTTTTTTTCTCTTTTGGACTGGCGACGAATATAAATGTGTGCCTTCCAGAAGAAGAAGAAGAAGAAGATACGATTGTGATTCTTCCCTCTTCCCTCCCCCCTTGTTTGCACTGGATGTGGTGCTAGTGCTTCCCTTTAACGGAGTATCAAGCGCAAGTTCCGTCTTCTTGAACTGCAACTACCCGAAAGCGAAGCGGTCAAGCACAACCAACGTACATGTCGGGTTTTTTTCTTTCTTCTGTTTGGACAAAGAGTCTTCTTGCATCGGCGGTGTCTGTGCTTACTGTGTGTGTTTTTTTTTCTCTTACCCAGCGTAGACATGGCAAGCTTAGCCAGGTAAGGTGTCTTAGACGCAGTCTTATACTACAACATCGACAGTATAGCAACAAACAACTATTTTTTTTTGAACGACATTCGCTGTAGACGACAATTCTTTTTACCCAGGCATCGTCAACATAACGGTATCATTTTCCAACGTAACACTACCAGCGTGAGTATATCTTTTTTTTTCTTTTGCTGCCTTCGTTGCAACAGCAGTTCGCTGTTCTTGCTACCTTTTTTTTCGTCGCAACCGTATTTTGGTTGTCGTATCCAACGGAGGTTTACATAATGGGCATGTCATTCAATTGAGAAGGAGTATTATTACCAAACTCAATTTTCCTTTTGTGTCAGGATTAAAAAGCAGGGTCTCTCGTAGACGTTGAATCTCTGAGCCGAAAAAGCTCCAAGAGGGGGTTTTTTTGTGCAAGAAGATGCTAACATCACTTTGCAGCCTCGTGCGATTTCTTTCTTTTCTACATTGACTGCAAAGCCTGTCCTTTTTTTATACCAGATTCTGGCATGTTAAAGGGTGTGGGTGTGTGGCTTGCCCATTCTTTTTTTTTTCTGTTTCTGGGATGATCGATCTGATGACGATACATAGCAAACAGATATTTAGAAGAGAGAAAGTCCGAGTAACAATATCCTTTGCTTCTTCGGGTTGAAAGCATGGGCAAGAACAGGAATCGGAACAGGAACAAGAATCGAGCCAAGAAGGCAAAAGGTGGTGGAGGTGAGGATGGCGAGACAAGTAAGACGCCGGCGAAGATACTGGTCGACAAGCAGAAGGATGTCAAGGAGCCGGAAAAAAGGGGGGCTAGCGATGAACAAGATGCAGCTCTTCTAGAGGCTCCGATAGGCAACTCAAAGGCCAGACGCGATTCGGTCATTTCGAGCACTTCGGAAAGTGCGGCGGATCAAGTCCACGTCGTAGCGCAAGTGACTCCAAGGTCAGGCTGGAATTTTCGAATCCGTCTCTGGCTCTGGCTCTGGCGGAGCTGGCCATGTCGATTGTTACGCTGGACATATTGTTTTCTGCTTGCCCTGGTGCGAATCGACTGGAACGACCAGCGGCGAGCGGCAGATCTGCTGCTGGCAGTAGGACTTGCTGGATCGGTCGTGTTTGGGGTCTGTCTCGTTGTTGATTTCGTGGTCAAGCATTCAGAGGAGCTAAGGGCGGTTTTCCCTGCGAAGTGGTTCCTGGTGCGACATGGCTGGTTGAAGAGCCAACTGGATCAAGCAATCGATCGTTTGAAGGATATCTGGGGAAGGCTGTTTGATTAACTGGACTAGGAAGCATTCTCAGGTATACGAGTCAAGGTGTCAGTGTTACAAGTTCACTGCCAGAAAGTGTTGCGAGGTGATAAACCTTGGGTGGCTGCTTGGTCAGCATACCCTAACCCAGAGGACGGCACTTGAGAGTACTGTGATCGGCAGACAGGCAGGTGGTGGTGGTGGTGTGTGTCGGATGTCGCCTAATGCGGGTTGTGTCGAGTGATGGGATGGTTTGGTGTTCGAGTCGGGTCTAGCGTGGAGAGCACGTGATTGCTAGTGCAGGGAGTTTAGGCGGTACTGCCGCTGTCAGTATGTACATGTCAATCCAGCAGGGCGAGGGCGAGGGCGAGGGCGGAGAGGATGGTGGCAGGACGTATCTTTTGGCCTAGTCAGTGGATGGGAGTAAGAGCGTAGGTGTAGATGCAGAGGTGCGTCTATCTATCTATCTACCTATCCATCCATCCATCCATCCATCTCTCTACCCCATGTAGATATCTCAGCACACTGATACGCAGTTGCAAGAAGGATAGTGACGTCAGACAGGCACATGACCGGGTGCAGCTGGCAGCAGGGAGCGTTTCAGCCGGGAGGTGCCATGTGCATGTGAGTGTCGAGGCACGCGTCGCGGGCCCTGTCGAGCCTGTCGAAGTACATGTGTATGCATCACGCGGCGACGGCCGAGGCAGCAGTTGGCAGCTTCTAGTGTGTATATCTAACTAGGTAAATGCCTCTGTGCCATGTAAGTATGTATGTATGTATGCATGCAGCCCCGGCAATTGGCCTCTTTGCTTCCTTTTTTCCCACTGCCACTGCCACTGCCACTGCCACTGCCACTGCCACTGCCACATCGCCTCCCCACACTTGGACTCGCAGTCGTTTGCGCATCCCATGCTCCAACGCTCGCTGCCCGCCCCAAGCGACCAGCCTAGTCTGCGCCCGGCCTAGCCACGCCCGCCCGAGACGTGCCCCATCCCAGCCTGCACCCACCGTCTGCCCTCGGGCGCGCTGGTGCGAGGGAGAAATCTCTCATCCTCTTGTTGGCCCCAGGTGGACCGCCGACTCCGGACCGAGACGCGCAGCAGCTTCTGTCCGTCTCTGCCAGCGCCAGCGCCAGCGCCATGGCGACATTTGCGCCCTCCAATTTTGCCCTCGACGCCGGCGACGACAAACCCCACCACGAGCCCCCACCACCGCCTCTCCCACACGGACCCTTTGCCCACCAGCTCAACCCTCCACCCACACAGCCCTACTCGTCTGCCACGCCCAAGCTCTCTCCACGACCCTCGCGCGACCTCCTCCGCCACCACCTCTCCTCTGGCGCAATGGCTGGCGCAAACACTCACGCGCCCATGGCCGTCCCAGGCGGACGCATCAGCCAATCCGCTCACGACCACCGCCCAAACCTGCGCGACATGGGCTTCGCCGGCCCCCGCAGCCCCCCAAACAACAAGAGTATGTCCTTGCCTAGCTGCTGGCCTGCCTGCCTGCCTACCTCTTTCTCTCCATTCGGCCATGGCTCTGCCCTTTGCTAACCCTCCATAGACACCTCACACGTCCCCTGCAAGTTCTACCGCCAGGGCGCATGCCAGGCAGGCAAGGCCTGTCCCTTTCTGCACTCGGACGAGCCGTTGACGGAGCGCGCGCCTTGCAAGTACTTCACAAAGGGCAACTGCAAGTTTGGCCAAAAGTGCGCCCTGGCCCACATCCTGCCAAACGGCCATGTCGTCAACCGTGGGAGCGCCGCCAGTCACTTTGGCCGCATGAACGTCCCCCACCACCAGGAGCTGCCCATCAACAGCTCCCTGCTGACCATGCAGGCACACATGGGCGGCATGCAGCCAGCCTACCCTTACGCCCTCCAGGACGACTACATCAACCACAAGAACCAGTACGATATGATCCCCACCATCGACACCACCTTTTCCTCCCACCCCGGCTCAAACTACGGCTCGCCGCCAAACGACAACGGCCGCCTCCCCATCTCGCCCACACACAAGGGTCTTAGTGTCATGGACGTCGGCTTGCCTGCCTCTTTCGACAGCCAGGGTGTCTCTACCATGGCCCGGTATGGCCCCATTGCCTCGTCTGTACCCGCAAAGTTCCTCGCAAACTCGCCCCCGTCCTCGTATCAGGCTGATTCGCCTGCGCTCCGCAACCTGCACGACTCTGCGTTTGGTGATGGCTCGCGAAGAGGAATTGGAGCGTTGGGCTCTTCTCCACCAGAGTCGGTAGAGCAGCCCACTGGAAGAAGGATGCTGCATTCTGAGCTCGCTGCGAATCGCTCTCGTGGTATCATGTCCTCTAGTCTGGGCGCACGACCTGCTTTCAAGGACGAGGAATGGGATGAGACGGACATGATTGGGAAGTTTGAGGAGGATCTGCTGCCAAACTCGCTCAGCGACCTGCTCACCCCACAGGAAAAGATGCGCCGCTTCTCACGCGACCAGGGCGAAAACGAGAGTTCCTTCTCCCAACGTGCTGCACAGTCTAGGCTTGGTGTGTCGCCAACTGCATCCGACCTCAAGTATGGATCTCCCTCGGCAGCGACTGCTTCTCCTTCTCGGTTCCAGTCCATGTGGGCCAAGCCTCGCGGGCCAACCTATGATAATGCATTCGAGTCAGGCTCATTACCGGGACAGTCGGCTTTTGGACACGTTGGCTCGCCGCTACGTAACTCGAGCCTCCACCCTGGAGCAAGTCCTTCACTACGCGCCATCAGCCGCCCTACCACCGGCGACGCGAGTCCCTACCTGTCTTCGCCTCCCCGCCAAGCTTCGATGAGCATGATCAGCCAGCAACTACAGCGGACTCGTCTGTCCACTCGAGAGGAGGCGAGCATAACCAGCAATCCGGTCCATCCTGGCATCAACCGTGTTACCTCAGCCACCAGTATCGGAAACTCGAGTGGACGTCTTGGTATGGATCGTGCGGTTAGCAGTAGCAGCATCAATCGCGAAAGAATTGAGGAAGAGCAGGGTTTGTTTAGCATGGAAGAGGAAGAGGACGTCAACAAGAGCAGGGATGGTGCATCCACCACTTCCAGTACAAGCAACAAGCGCTTGAGCGGTCTCTCATGGGGCAGCGGAGGTGGCAAGGGCAGCCCCAACCTCGCACCCGTTGGTGGACACCGTACTACTGCAACTTCTGGCCTATCCAAGGACACGGGGATCTGGAATAAGAACGCCTAGACCTTTTCTCCCGGTTCCAGATGTTACTCTCCCATCCCCTTCAATACGCAACTCATCTACGACACACCAAGAAAAAAAATATAGCATACCCCCTTTTCAAACTGGTAATCAGTTGGAAATATTGAGCGTTCTGGGCGACTATTTTGTTTGCATTTCTTGGGGGGGGAAACATACGACCTCTTTTGATCTTCATGCGTGGTGTTTGTTTGTTTGTTTTTTCACATCGGCATATACAAAAAAGTCTCGGAGCTTATAGCTATTACACAGATATATCCAAGTGGTGGGACGGGGTCCAAATCAGGCAAAACATTGTAGCACAGTGGTTGCCTAGATTCTCATATTCAGTATTTGGGTTTGAGTTTTCAACTTTTAGAGTTGGATGGAGTTTACGACTTTTTTTTTTATTTCAAACTCAAAGTCGCGGATATTGTGGTTACATCAATGGCAGTTTGGTGTCTGCTTTTTTTTCCCACCAGATCTCATGGGTCATGACTGATTGTTTTTTTTTGTTTCTCTGCAATATAGTATGCTCTGTTCAGTTTATACATATGAAGGAAATAACGAAAAAGGAAGGCGTGTATTGGAGAATTTTAGCTAGGAAGTGCATATTCAGGGGAGAAAGCGGGGAGGGAGTAGTAGTGATGAATTCTTGATATGAAAGTGGAAGGATGATGAATGCAAGTAGAAGAGAGAAACAAGGCGTAGATGATGGAAATAGTAGTGATAAATCCATGTATTCGATAATGCAATCTAGAATGTCGAGGTAGAAAATTCAAATCGATTTCCAACCTCGCTCAAAGAAAATACATGACCATGGAATGAAACTAAACACAACCTCTACAACTTCGCCTTCTCCCCAACCCCCAACCCAACATCCCCCTTCGACCTCTCCTTCAACACCCTCCTCAAAATCTTCCCACTCGCACTCTTGGGAATCTCCTCCACAAACACCACTCCGCCCCTTAACCACTTATGCCCTGCCACCTTCCCCTCCATCCATTTCACAATCTCCCTCGCCTCCTCCTCCTCCCCAGCCCTCCCCCTTGTAGCTTGTGCAGGCACAACATACGCCCTGGGCACCTCCGTGTGCCTCTCTTCATCCTGCACGCCCACAACCGCGACATCCTCCACCGCCGCATTCTCCATGAGCTTCCCCTCCAGCTCCGCGGGTGCAACCTGAAACCCCTTGTACTTGATCAGCTCTTTGACACGATCCGTAATGTAGAAGTTATGCTCTGCGTCTACGAATCCGACGTCGCCCGTCTTGAAGAAGCCGTCGGGGGTCAGGGCGGCAGCGGTGGCTGCGGGGTTTTTCCAGTAGCCTTTGAAGATGTTGGGGCCGCGGAGGTGCAGTTCGCCGGTTGAGCCGGGGGCAAGTTCCTGGCCAGAGGGGGACATGTAGGATGCTTGCATGTTGGGGAGGAGTTTGCCGACGCTGCCGGGGGAGGTGGACCATTCGTTCCAGGGCTGTTTTGGGTGGTTAGCGAGGTACTCTTCTGTTCTGCTTGAGGTCTTGGTAAGGGGGGGAATTGAAGGTTACCTGATTGTGTGTTGCGGGGCTTGTTTCGCTCAGGCCGTATGCTTGGTTGATTTTTAGGCCGAGTCGCTTGTGCACGGCGTCTATGAGGCTTTTTGAGAGGGGTGCGGCACCGCTGGTGATCATTTTTATGGAGGAAAGGTCGTATTGGGTTACTATGCTGTCTCTAGCTAAGCGGACAATGACGGGGGGCGCTACATAGATCAATGTGATTTTGTGTTCTTGGATTGCCTCGAGGAACATCTTCAGGTCAAAAGCGGGCATCACGACGAGCTCGATGCCTCGGTGGAGTGTTTGGTGTACAAGTATAGTGAGGCCGTAGATGTGGAAAAAGGGGAGGACGCCTAGGAATTTGTCGTCTGCTGATGAGTACCAGTGGCCTACACCTCCTTTTATCATAAGAAGATCTGCCACGATATTTCTATGGCTGAGCATCACGCCTTTTGGCAGTCCAGTTGTACCAGAGCTGTAGGCAAGGAACGATAGGTCTTCGGGGTTGGCTTTCCTTCTGCGATACCGTTCTAAGATGTCGGTCTTCTGAATACTGGCCCAGTGCTTGCATTGATGGGACTCATCTTTCTCAGACCCCAACAAGATGACTCGATCGTTTGGGATGCCGACTTTGTCGGCAGCCTCCAACGCCGTTTTCATAAACGCCTTTGTGGTGACGAGTGCCTTGGCGCCAGAGTTCTCCAGTTGGTAGGCCAGTTCATCTTTCGAATACGCAGGATTCACAGGCGTAACGATTCCACCTGCGTAAAAGGTACCGTATATGACTGGCGGGACATCGATATCATTTGGCGTATACAATGCCAAAACGTCATCTTTCTGCCAATCCCAGAGACTCCGGAGGCCCTGGCCGAATACTGTGGCTAGTTTCTTTACTTGAGCAAATGTGTATCTTCGGTCAGAGTTGATCGCACGGTAAATGACCTTGTCATCTGAGAAGTCGCGGTCTTTCCGCTCAAACATGAGTCCCCATAGGTCGACATCCGGGATCTCCACGTCTGGAAACGGAGAATTGGAAGGCATGTTTTGTGTTGGTATTGGACAGAGGAGTTAGACGGTCGTCCGCTTACGCGCAGCAATGTCAGACTGGCAATTATATGCTTGTTTGTAATTGGCATCGTCGTGTAAAAAAAACACATAGTGTTAGGGTTCAAGGCGGAAGGGGATTAGCCGACTTATTGTGGGGAACCTCGGCTTCCAGCAACGTGACGTTACCATTTCCGAATCTTGCGCCATTGCGACGTTTTGTCAGACGCAATTTCTCAAAAAGGCCCCTGGTTTTCTAAACAATTGCCTTACTTTGAGTAACCTGACGGCTCCCATGACTGCAGTGATAGGATATAATGGTGCTACGAATGTTGATAGACATTTGTAATGGTTACTCAGCGGGTAAACTCTATCTCAACTTGAGCAAATTCCAGTCACTACTGAACTCTATGTGCCACATTTGGCGATGCGTCTGTGCCAATTTGTTGAGCGTCCCGAAGGCAGATTAATCAAATCTCGCTATCTTTATTTTTATTTTTAGGCTTTCAATAAGTGATCAATGGGAAGTTTCATGCCACAATCAATGCCTTCTCGCCTGTAATGAATTGAAAATAAAAGTAATCGGGAAGCTGCAGAAGTCCACATCATGCAGTACCGTCTGGATGTATATACATACGAGATGAATGTGTGCAAGCTGCTCGAGCCAAGCCAATGTGTTCTCTTCTATCATGCGCACGTGATCATGCGGTCGGATCCCGGAATATGTAGGTACGTGAACCATCGGGAGGGCCGGAAGACAGCCACGCACACGAAATGATATGCGTGGTCAGCTAACGTGTCCACAACGACCGAGGCTAACGGAAGGCGATCGAAATAATGTCCCGGTCATACAAGCACGGGTGTGACTAGGCTTCGTCTTGGTGCACAGCGTAGGCTCGGCGCGATGGACCAATTGATGATGGCAATGTGCCGATGAGATGGTTGGGCATGGCTTTGTGGGTTTGGGGGGCTGCCGCGACTCAATAGCTGGCTGGTTGAGCCGTGATGGCCGGGCGATGGCATTGTGTAAAGTACATAGGCCGGCGTACTCGGTCCATGAGGTGTGGGTGGAAACTAATGCTAAAAGGAATGCCGCAGACTAACACTAAGGACCGTTCCCGCATGCGCACGGTCTACCGTAATGGTGGGGGAAAGGCGCGAGCGAGCAGTCGACCGTCCGACCGAACGACCCACCCTCTATCTCTCCCAGTTCATCCATCAGGGTGCCTCCAGCCCATCTTCATCTCGGCCGCACTCGCATCTGCCTCCAGAGTCTACCGGAACAATTGCTCGTCGGATAGCGGCTGGCATCAAGTCGCTCCGGTGCAAGTGGGTGCGGACCGGCAGCGTCTGGCTCCCCCCAAAGCTCGATACAGTTCACGTCGGCAGCCGCTGACCAGCCGCCCTCTTGGGACTCTGCTCTGCATCTGCTCTCGGATCCGGCGTGGGCGGCGTGATTGGCTGGGTGAGGCTGTGCCGTGGGGAGGGCTGCACCGTCGAGGACCCATACGGCGTCATCGCTGAGGCGTGGGCGGAAGAAGGGCAATTTCTCTGCAGCGTGATATCTGCACCACTGCCACGACTGGGTCCTACAGGCCGTCTCAGCTGGCAGGGAGCCCGGCCTTAACCAAGTGTCACCGGCAGCTGCTTCTAATACCACACAGGATGGGTAAGTGCCCCTCGACTTCTCTCAATCCCCCTCCTAACGTCGACGTCGCCATCCCCATCCGTCATCCGCCCTCCGCGCCAGCGCCATCACGGTTCTGCCTCTCCTCATAACCAGGTCCACCTTCCCGCTGACTTTTGCCTGCTAGATTCTGCAGGAGACACCTACCGTCCCAGTGACCGAGTGAGTACAGCCGCCTCTTCTCTTTTGCCCGTCGCCAATCGTCACCTGCCAACCATGTGGCCAGGCGGCAAGTGAACCGCATCGCACCGCACCGCACCGCTCCTCGCCTGCCCTGGTCTGGCCTGTTAGCCGCCATCCCGTCGAGAGCACGCCGGCACAGACGAGCTGCTGTCCTTTTGCCCTTCCCCTTCCCCTTTCCCCTTCCCCTTCACTTCTCACTTCACCCCCAGGGTGCGTTGTGTCCGCTGGTGTTGGTCAGGGCACGTGATTGGCCGGCAACTGCCGTCGCGCGTTTCGTTCGTCGTTGCCCAAGCTCCGAGCTGCTCACGCACCCTCGCCCGCTCGCGCAACCTCTCCTTCCAACCCCATCAACCCTGCGAGCCTGCACCAGCTCGCATCACCCGCCCGCAACCCGCTCCAACCTCTCCGCTTCGACGCATTGATCGACGCACCATCGCAATCATGTCGTACGAAACTGACAATTATGACCAGCGCGACCGCTCCCCTCGTCGCCGTTCTCGCTCCCCGCGACGCTCCCGGCGCTCCTACTCACCTCGCAGCCGCTCTCGCAGCCGAGAGGACTACCGTCGCACTGAACGCCGCTCGCGCTCCCCCAACGGTGGTGCTCAAGGTGCGGGAAGTTACCAGTCGTACGGTGCCAGCAGAGGTGGCTCATCGCGACCCACTGAGAACAAGGGCGAGATGATGCAGAACATTAGGGACTCTTCGCAACAAGACCGTCGCGTCTACGTCGGCAATCTCTCTTACGATGTCAAGTGGCATCACCTGAAGGACTTCATGCGCCAAGGTACGCATGGCATGCGTTGCGTCGCGTCAAGAGATGGGCTAATGTGGAAATAGCTGGAGAGGTCCTCTTTGCAGATGTCTTGCTACTACCGAACGGAATGTCAAAGGTAATGGATGATGGCTTGTCTTGATCGTGAGAAGGATGGAGGTTGACTGGCTTTTGCTTGGGTGTAGGGCTGTGGCATCGTGGAATATGCAACTCGGGAGCAGGCGCAGAACGCTGTTGCAACGCTCAGCAACCAGAACCTCATGGGACGCCTCGTATACGTTCGCGAAGACCGAGAGGCCGAGCCTCGATTCAGTGCCCCCGGCGGTCGTGGTGACTTTGGCGGCGGAATGGGTCGTGGCGGCGGCTACGGTGGCTTCAGCGGTAATAATGCTGCTGCTGGAGGTCCAACCGGAGCACGACAGGTCTACGTCTCCAACGTTTGTACCCCCGTTTCATTTTTCCTTTGTGTTTTCCATTGGTGGTTGTTTGCTAACTTTTGCTGCCTAGCTTCCCTACAACGTTGGCTGGCAGGACTTGAAGGACCTCTTCCGCCAGGCTGCCAACAATGGCCAAGTCCTTCGCGCTGACGTTCACATTGCACCTGATGGTCGCCCAAAGGGTTCCGGTGTGGTTGCATTTGAGACACCTGAGGATGCCCGGAATGCCATTACTCAGTTCAACGGCTATGATTGGCAGGGCAGAAACCTCGAGGTCCGCGAGGACCGCTTTGCCGGCGCTCCTGGTGGATTCGGCGGTCGCGGAGGCTTCGGAGGCCGCGGAGGCTTTGGCGGCGGTTTCCAGGGCCGTGGTGGCTTTGGAGGTCGTGGTGGCTATGGAGGCTTCGGAGGTCGCGGTGGCTTCAATGGCGGATATGGTGGTGGTGCCGGCGGCCCTGGTTTCGACCCCAACGCTGCTCCTCCTGCCCCGAACCCATTCACAGACTTTGCCACTGCAGGCGGAGAACCCAGCAACATTATCTACGTTCGCAACCTGCCATGGTCGACTAGCAACGAGGATCTTGTCGAGCTCTTCACCACGATTGGAAAGGTCGAGCGTGCCGAGATTCAATACGAGCCCAACGGTCGCTCTCGCGGAACCGGTGTAGTTGAATTCGAGAAGGCTGCTGACGCAGAGACGTCTATCGGTATGTTCTGCAAAGTTGCTTGCATGTCAGCCTACTAATATATCTATAGCCAAATTCACTGGTTACCAGTATGGCGGCAGGCCTCTCGGCCTTGCCTACGTCAAATACACCAACGTGGGCAACAGCGATGTCATGGAAGGTACCGAACACACTGGCGGTTTGACCCAAGACCAGATTATGTAATTTGCTCTTTCATTCGCCATGCATCCGGGACACCTAGCATCTACATGATGATGCACGCACATTTTTTATTTGCTGTGGTCGCGAGCGTCTTATCAGGGATGATTTTTTTTCCTTTATCTCACATTTGCATCTCTCCACAGAATGGGATCTGGAGAGAATATCTTGCGAGTCAGTTCTGGTATCGGGGAAACACTGTAGGAGAACAAAATTTCCTTGTCTACACTAAAAGCTAGCTGTTGAGATGTAGCTATAGCATCGAATGGGAATTTCGTAAGGCTTATGCACATGCCTTTGCTTCACTCTTCTGTTTTTGTGTGCAAATCTTGACTTGGTTTGGAGTGACACGGATTTTGTCTATTGCAACAACTTCATCATCCACTCATACGTGGCCCATTGCACGGCATTGACAATAAATGCGCGTACACTGCATATGCCCAAGCCACGAACGAAGACGCCTGCGCCTTCTGTCCGGTATGCTTGCCTGGCGATTTCAATTGAGCTCATTCGCTTTTTCTGTGCTTCTGGTTGCAGGAGCCCACTTCGTTCTCCGTTTGTTGCCGGTGGCTGTAGTACCTGGGTCTGCACTCTCGTCTTAATCATATCCAGCGGAAAGATGGAGGTCCAGCTAACGACACCAGCCAACCCACCACACATGAGCACCTTCATGGCTGTTTCCTGGTCCGAATCATCCGGTGAACTCCAGGCTTGTTTGGACATTTCATACGACCAGAAGCTATGATTTGCCAGTCAGCTCCCCTTCCCATACTTTGTCTACTTCTCTTTTTTTTCTCTTCCTGGATTTGAAAAGAAGCACGTGTTTTATCTTTGCAAGAAGATATAAAAAAAAGAAGGAAGAACTTACTAAAGCCCATAACCCACCGCATCCCTCACACTCGTAATCGCACCTCCATAATACAACCCACGCACCCCTTCCGTCCTCCACACATCCCGGGCTACACTCCACGACGTCGTAGTCTCACTCGTAGAAACCTGTGCGCGGCACTTGATTAGCTCCGTGGGGGCGCTGACGACGAAAGAAGCGAGACCGCCTGTTACACCGGCCAGAAAGACGTTAGAGAGGCTTTGGGGGGAGGCGGGGTTGTCGTGGAGCAGGGATAAGGTGCGGTTGTAGGTTACGAATAAGAGACCATTGAGGGCACCGTAAGTTAGGATGGGGGCTGTAGCGCCTATACTGGAGTGGTTTTGCTTGTTAGTTTTGGGTGGCTTTTTCTCTCTTCTTCCTTCTTCTTCTTTTTCTTCTTTTTTTTTGAGAAAGAAAGAAAGAAAGAATTCACGGGACGCAGGAATATTGATGGGTGATGCTGAAGTCTCACCTCTAACTAGTGTTCCGGCATTTTCGAATTGCGCCCTGAAACCTTGCAGGATTTGCAGTTGTGGTTGTACCGCTGCTGTTGCTGATGTTATTGTTGTCGTTGTTGGTGTAGCTTCGACTACATGTAGTGCTGGTGCTGTTCCTGCCTGTAGACGCGTCTTTATGAGGTCCAGTGGGTTGCCGATGATGATACCTGCTGCGCCTGAAATGTAACCGGCCCAGAAATCTGCGGACATGATTCTTTCTATTTTTTGTGTTCCTATTGGCGTGTGGGAGGGAGGGGGAGGCGAAAAAATATGTAGGAACGGTTGGGTCAGGTCTAGTACTAGAGGGGGGGTAATGCAGGGTCTTTGGAGGTTTTGGGGGGGAGGGGTGGGGAGGGGCAGGGATTTCGAGGATCTACTAGGACAGCCGAGGCTCAGATAGATGGGAGGTGGGAATACGATGGTTGACTTTTGGAAATGGAGAATGCATGGCTAGTGTGTGGGTCCTGCATTTGTAGTATTGACTATCAAAGTGAGTCTTGTGGTTATGCTATTGCCAGGGTTAAGACGAGTGATGGTCTGCAGGGTTTTGGTGCGATAGTCTACCTGAACATGAAGTCCTATCGCTCCGCATGAGCATGCATTCGTGGGGATATGAAAAATGGGTTGAGCCATGTTCATTTACTTTGCCTGCTGTGGGCCTCCGTTATCACAGAACGGTTCATGAGATTGTGAAGATTACGTCAGATATTACCTCCGCTCATTGTTTGAGTTTTCTAGGCATTTGCACAAGTTATAACAGAAGTCGTGAAACCTACCTCGTCTCGATATAGAAACTCATGCCTGAATTTGCCCGTGAGAAGCCTATTTTTTCGCGTCCATGAAATTGTTACTAAGACGGCCCTACCACGTTGATGCGCACCCTGGCAATCAGGCCTTGTCTACGAGGTTTGATGCGTCTTTTGTTTCTTGTACAGTGGTTGGGATCGAACTTTCGGTCGGTCACTTTTGATTAAGTTGTTGGTGCTAGAACAACGCCAGCACATGATTATTCGTTAATTTCGGCTGCTCTTTCTAGCAAAGCGAGATGATGATAGGCCAGATGATGATGGGCACGTCAGACCGCTCTTGGGCTTTCCATACCTACGTAGCTCACAGAGCCATCCCTATGTTTCAAATGATTACAGTGAATAGTCCAGGTAAGGTCACAAACGAAAGTGAATGAAGCGCCAAAGACGCTCCGATCTCCAGCATGCATGATGTGTGTCATTCTCGGTGGCGTTGGCATATCGACCCAAGCGAATAGACTAGAGCCAGCTAGAGCTCGGACCATGAGGCTGAGACACCCCCGATGACCTTCACCCCGCCGCCACCCAAACACCAGGCACTTATCTTCGCGTTCCTGCAACTGCAACTCTCTTTATTCTTACTGATACACTTACTTCCCCAGGATTGCCCTTACAGCTACTGTTTGAGCCTGGCGATACCTCTTTCTCTATACGTCGCCACCGTTGATCATGAGCGCGCGATTAGGACCCTTGTTTCGAGACCAATTATACAGTATGTCTGGCCATCTGCTGCGCCTTGTGATACAGCCTCTACGCGCTGAGTGTGCCTAGCGTAGCAAGGCTGTATCGTTGAAACGCTGCTCCTAGGGCGCCGAGCTTGCCGCCTGAGATTCCTTGTATTCATCTGACACTCGTCCAGATTCCGCCACACATTAGCATTCACCACTCACCTACGACGAACACTCTAAATTACGATTATTTGATTATCCTTTGAGGAAACTATACTCAATGCCTTCACAATCTCTTGATATCGGTTGGGACTTCGGCCCCGTCATTGATCTCATTGAATCTGCTTCCGAAGATATCTGTTCCCCAGCGCTTCGGCCCACAACGCAGAACAACTTCACACCAGCCTGCGAAGATGGCGGGGTACGCCTGGGCAGTTTCTCCAAGCTATTTGAGAGCCTAGGTTTCTCAGACAGTTTGGCAGCACCGCTTCCGCCCCTCGACCCTGACTCTGAGCTTAGCAACTCAGATGACGCTTTGCTACCGTCTCCAACCTTGAAGCCGGCTCAGGCGCCCGTTGAGTGTGTTGAGAATTCAACTGTGGAGCCAATAAGCAGCCCGGGTTTGACGAAGACCCAGCGCAAGAAAGCTCGCAGACGTGCTGAGAAGGAGTTGCTGGAAGAGCAAACCCGTCAGCGGATCATGCAAGAAACTCTTGATCAGCTCGCCGAAGAGCGCGAGCAGAGGGAGCACAAAAAACAACGAGGCTTCATTGGCAAGCAATCAGACAAGCTTACCAACAACTCAGTGGAGGGTGACAATGTTGCTGAAAAGCCGCAAAAGCCTTCCCGGACGAGTTCACGATCCAACGTTGGTGCAAAAATCCGACCTACGATTTCTGTACAGGTGTCCGCACCAGAACTCACAGGTGCTCATGGCATTCAGCCGAAGACACCAAAGCAGCCGAAGACGCCCAAGCTTCGTCCCAGTATACTTAAGCAGTCATATGCAGTACAGCCAGTGACTCCTCAGCCACCACAAAAAGCACCGGCCATTACTCCCTGTAAAACGCCAGTACCTAATCTAGCTATACACGAAACGTCGAGCACTCCAGTGCTAGACCAACACATTGATCCCACACCACAGCGACCATATCTTGTGGCTACTCCAGTACGCCATGGACTTGTGCCGCGAACTGTTCGACCAGTTACTCTCCCAAGGGCTGCTTCACAACCCGCCGTTGTAGCCCAGCCTCCGACGACACCGACTCCACGAGCCGGCTCGTTCAGCGGACGGCGACCACCTCTTGTGATTCGATCCAAAACGGATCGTCATCTTCATCTGTTCAACAAGCTGATGGAGAAGTTTCCGGAAGATCAGAAGTGGCTGGTGGCGCCGATGCAGCTTCTGAACGAGCGGCAAAGCGAGCATGGTTTGCATGTATTCGTCGACGCCTCAAACATTATGATTGGACTCAAGGATATGTTGCGCTCGCATGGACTTCACCATAATGCGTATGACATATCGTTTGATAGCCTTGCGCTGCTAATGGAGCGGCGCCGGCCTGTAGCCAAGCGATTCTTCGCCGGCTCACACCGTGAAGCCAACCCACTTCCTCACATTGAGAAGATGGTGGAGACTTCGAAGGCGGTTGGGTACGACAGCGTGATGCAAGAGCAAGTGCTGATTGTACGGGAAGACTCGGAGAAGAAGAAATTCTTCAACGACGTCAAGAAGATGGGGTGGCACAAGGCCACGCAGATGCGGTCGGGCAGCGGCAGTGGCAGCGACTCTGAAACGAGCGCGCCGGCTCCCAAGACACCTGCGGCCCCGAAATGGGTTGAGCAGGGGGTGGACGAGATTCTTCACTTGAAGATGTGCCAGAGCATTATTGATTGTGAATGGCCGAGCACCATGGTGCTAGCGACGGGGGATGGGGCGGTTGCAGAGATGTCAGACGGGTTCCTAGCTCACGTGGAGCGAGCGTTGAAGCGGGGGTGGAGGGTGGAGTTGATCAGCTGGGGGCAGCAGATCAACAGCGGTTATAGGAAACGCCAGTTCCGAGCCAAGTGGGGGGAGCAGTTTACGATTATTGAGCTGGATGAGTTTTTGGAAGATTTGATTGATACGCGGTAAGAAGGGGAGGGGGAAATAGATGATGTGTTGTGT